TTTTAAAGTTGCTGATTTTGGGGTGGGGGGTTGGTTGAGGGGTGGGATGAGAAGACAAAAATAGAAAAAAAAAAAAATCAGCAAAATAAGAGCACATCTTCAGAGTTCATTTAGAAGTCAGCATCCAAGGTAAAAGAATTCTCTGTAGGACTTGACATCACTCCCATCCTCTGATATTCGCCTACTCTCTTCTCAAAGAAGTTAGTCTTCCCTTCCAGTGAAATATTCTCCATGAAGTCAAATGGATTTTCTACTTTGAAAACCTAAAAATGTTCACATCAAAATATAAATACAGGACATCAAGTAGTTTCAAAAGAACTACAGGGGCCATAAAGAATACTTTACCTTATTAAAACCCAGTTCCAGCATTAGTCTGTCTGCCACAAATTCAATGTACTGCTTCATTAAATTGCAATTCATTCCGATAAGCTTCACAGGCAAGGCCTCAGTAAGGAACTCCTATGGACAAAAATAAAGCTACTGAATAGAAGTGAAGTGTACATTTGTCTTCTAATAAGCATGAGGAGGACCTAAACACATTACCCACCTGTTCTATCCTAACAGCATTAATAATTATTTCTTTTACTCTCTGCTCTGAAGGTTTGTGTAGCAGGTGTTTGAACATTAGACAGGCAAAGTCACAGTGCAAACCCTAGAAGAAAAAAGTTTCAGATCATGATCAAGCCAAAGAACTGCCATTAACTTGCAATAAGAAATTGCTTTATCCTTTGTATACGCTCCTTACACAGCTTACTTGGTTGTATGAAGAGCATTTAAATTGTCAAAGAAACATTAATTACATCTCTAATCTGCTTAAGGAGCCCTGGGTGGTATATTGGGTTGTGTGTTGGGCTAACCAAAAGGTCAGTAGTTCAAACCCATCAGCTGCTCCATGGGAGAAAGATGAAACTATCTGCTCCCATAAAGAATTAATCTCAGAAATCCTAGGGAGAAGTCCACTGTCCAAAGTAGTCCTGCCTGGTGTGGCGCTGTAGGATAAATACTCGGCCACAAGGTTACTTTGAACTACAAGTTCAAATCCACCAACTGCTCCTTGGAAACCCTATACAGGGTAACTTATGAGTCAGAACTAACTTGAAAGCACTTAACAATTTAGATGTAGTAGGACCACAAAGAATAACAGACAAAAATCAATAATCAAAAATTACACTCACCTCATCTCTGCTAATAAGTTCATTAGAAAATGTCAGACCAGGCATTAGTCCTCGCTTCTTGAGCCAGAATATTGATGCAAAAGAACCAGAAAAGAAGATTCCTTCCACTGCTGCAAAGGCTACAACACGCTCCCCTAATAAAATATTTCAAGTGAGTATTCCTGTTCTAGGGAGGGCCAACAAGCCATAACAATACTTATAAAAGGAAGTTTTAAGTAGAGCCAAAGGTCTCCTTACCATAGGTAGCTTCTTTGTCCCCAATCCAGCGCAAGGCCCAATCTGCCTTCTTCTTTACACAAGGCATCGTTTCAATGGCATTAAAGAGAAATTCCCTACAAAGTATGTATAGCATCAGCAATTATAGAAAAAAACCTCAATTATAAACTTCTAGACAAGAGCAACAGATCCGAGGTCAAATTCAAATGTTTGCCAATTCTTTTCCCAAAGGAAGAATTTGCTCTTAACTGGTCTTCCTTACCTACCCTTCCTTCACTCACTGCAGGGCCCATTATATGGAGGCTAGATTTCCCAGCCTGTTCCTTCCTACATGACCTTGTTTTCTGAAGTCAAAATCATAAAATACCATCTATCCATCTCAGGTCTTCATCTATTTCAGAAATGTGTGCCCACCTTTACTTTGCTTGTATCAGGCTTGCCTGATCCTACACCCTTCAGGTTCTTTACTCATAATCATACCTTCATTCCAATCTCATCCTTCTTCCATTTCTGAATGCAAAAAGTATTCAAAACCCTTTCTCCTCAAAGAGTTCCCTGTCCATCTTTCAGGTACCATTCATTACTATTCACATTCTTCTAAGTAGTCTACAAATTTCCCACAGAATCACAACTTGCAATTCAAACAAGGCTCCTGATTTTATTGTAAAGCAAATCTTTTGTTATTTAGACCATATAACAGCACATTTCTAATTTCCTCCTCTAGAATGACTCACCCAAATCTAAAATTGGTCCTAGCCTACCTTATTTTCTCTGCTATCCCCAAAATAAAGTCTAAGATTTTAAACCAAACTTCTTAGAAGCAAGGACAGTGACTCTATCCCACATGTTAACAAGGACCAGTCCTTCGAGAACATTATGCTCAGCAGAGGGTCAGAGGAAAGAGAAAGACCTTCAAGATGAATTGACATTGGTTCCAACAATGGGCTCCAGCAGGATAGAGGCAAGGCAGTGTTTTGTTCTGCTGTTCGTAGGATGACTATGGATCAGAATAGAACTGACGGCACTAAACAACTGGCTGGCTTACATTAATCTCACGGTTCACTACTGCTGTTGTGTAGTATGTATTCAGCATACTTAGATAAGGAGCTCTGGTATTGGTTATGAGTCAGGCTGCTAACCTCAATGCCAGCTGTTCGAAACTACCAGCTGTTCTGTGGGAGAACGATGAGGCTTTCTAATTCTATAAAGATTTACAGCCTTGGAAACCCTATGCAGGGTCGCTAAGAGTTGAAATCAACTCCACGGCACACCACACACACCTTCAAGTGTTTTGTTTACCCCTTGTACTATATTGCAAAAGGAGTCCTGATAAGTATTGGACTGCTAACCTCAATTCAGTGCTTCAAACCCATCAGCTGTTCCATGGGAGAGAGATTGCTTGCTTCCATAAAGAAAGATTACAGTCTACAAAGCCCCATATAGGGTTGTGGAGTGGGAATCAACTCTATGGCAGTGAGTTTTAAAAAAAATATATTGCAAACTTCCTGATGACACAGGTTATGTTCTATTTTGTATCCTCCCCTACTCTGCCCGGCTCCAGCCTCACACTGTAAGTTCTCAATACATCTGCTATATGAATAAAGATGATCAGACCTAGGTTTTACTTCACATGCAACCTTGAAGGATTTATTTTCCCAAAAAATAAGGCATGGGATTGGACATCCTACAGTATACTTCTAATTCTAAAACTGGAACATCTAATAATTTTTAAGTGGCTGGCTAATAGAGTGCATTTAAATCTATTTTTCGGTCTGCCTAGTAATTTATTTTCTTATACTATCTGAATGCAGAATGGTTTCTGGGTCATCTAAGTGATTTGCTATTGACTGCTAAGCTGAAGGCAGACAGGTTAAACCCATCCCAGTGATGCTACAGGAGAAAGACCTGGAGACGTACTGCCATAGATTACAGCCAAGAAAACTCCATGAAATCATTTGACATTGTAACACATAGGGTTATCATCAGTAGAAATAGGGTTTGTTTGTTTTCTTTTTTTTTGGGGGGGTGGGGGAGGGGGTTTATATGTAACAATTACCAACTCTTAAACATCATAGGAAAGAGCTCTGGTAGTGTAGTGGTTACCAGTCAGGCTGCTAATCTTACAGTCAACAGTTAGAAACTACCAGTAGTTCCTTGGGAGAAAGTTGAGGCTTTCTTCTCCTGTTAAGATTTATAGCCTCGGAAACCTTATGCAGGGTCATTATGAGTCAGAACCAACTCCATGGCACACTATCACCAAACATCTTAAGAGTTCTGGTGTAGTGCTGTAGGATAGAGTGGATCGCTAACAGCAAGGTTGGTGGTTCAAACCCAACAGCTGCTCTTTGCAAACACTATATAGGATAGCTATGTGTCACAATTGACTAACAGCAATTAACAACAACAAATACTCACCTTTCCTTAGAATCTTTAATGTAAGTGTCAATAAGGAGACTATACATTTCAGAATGTATGTTTTCCATGGCAATTTGGAAGCCATAGAAACAGCGGGCTTCTGTAATTTGAACTTCTTGGCTAAATCGCTCCACCTAGTGGTGAAATATCAAAATTAATCCTGAGCAGCCAGGTACTCAATGGACAGATATGGTCACATCACACTTGCTTTATAAGATTATTAGGAGTCCTGGTGTGGCACTGCAGGATAAACAATGAACTGCTAACCACAAGGTCAGCAGTTCAACCCCACCAGCCATTCCTTGAGATACCCTATACGAAGTCACTATGAGTCAGAACCGACTTGATGGCAGTTGAGTTTGGAGTTGAGAATTCATTATAAGAATCCAGTTATTTACAATAGAGAATATATGCATCCACATTACTAGAACATTAAAGCCACAAAAAGGAGAGAGCAAATGTGACAGCAACAAGGACTAACACTCATTACTACAAATTAACTGTTTTTGAGCCTCTCTATAAAATAGCATAACGAAAAAACAACTGCAAAACACTTTATTAAATGGGAAATGCCAGGTAACAAAAAGGAAGTTTCTCACACACACATTCGGTTTAAAAAAATGATAACTTGAAGAAAACCAGTTATTTCTATATTATATCTTTAAGTGAACTAATAAAAAAAAGAAAAAGACTTTTTCTGGAAACTCACCAAGTTTTCATTCACTATGCCATCACTTGCTGCAAAGAACGCCAGTACATGTGATATGAAGTATCTCTCCTCAGGCTTCAGGGCTTCCCAGTGCTGAATGTCCTTAGAAAGATCCACCTAAAGTTGAAAAGTTCATAATATTAGCATAAAGGGAAGCGATTCAAACATACAGGACACCTAAACACCTTCATACAACTCTTCCTAAATTACCTCCTCCGCGGTCCAAAAGGAAGCCTCAGCTTTCTTGTACATCTGCCAAATATCATGGTATTCAATAGGAAAGACGACAAAGCGCCGAGGATTTTCTCTCAGCAATGGTTCATCCTCTACGGTGGAGGCAGGAACGTTTGTGTCCTATAGGAGAAAGCAACATCAATGTTGGCTAAATTTACACTGAACCATATGAAACCACCATTTTTATGGGTGAGACACGAAATTATTGGCAATTTCACAGAGTTCAACTGCAAGGGCACTAAATACATGTTATTTATTAAGTAAAATAAAGTAGTATGTGAAGTATGTTGCTAAATAACATGTAAATAGTTCATAATGTCATGTGTGCATTTTGTACCATGTAAAATGAGCACATATAAAAATATGTAGGAAGTATACTTGGAGCTGTAGGTTAATGCGCCAGACTGCAAAGCCGCTTGAACTGCAAGGTCGGCAGTTCAAGCTCACCAGCTGTTTTTTGGAAACAGGGTCACTATGGGTCAGAACCGACTCAATGGCACTTAACAACATACATAGGGTGGTGATGTGCCGTGGGGCCGGTTCCGACCCATAGCAACCCTGCACAGGGTTTCTGAGGCTGTAAATCTTTACCGAAGCAGAAAACCTCATCTTTCTCCCACGGAACAGCTGTTGGTTTCGAACTGCTGAACTTAAGGTTCGCAGCCCGATTCGTAACCACTAGGCTACCAGAGCTCCTTAATTATACATATACAGGTACAGAATAGGCAATTACAGGGAGGGGCACTTTGGCGGGAAAGGGGGCAGGGGTGGGGAGAAGAAGAGGTGGAGTAGTAGGGCAAGCGGGAAAACACTGAAGACACAATGAGAGAGGCTTTGGCGCCAAGATCAGTCACCTCAAGGCTGCCCCCTACCTCAGGGTTTCTCTGCGCAAGCGGCCTCAGTACTTTTGACCCCTCAGCCCTCCCCTAAGGCCGGCTACTTACCGACTCCTGGAAGATCTTCCTCGCGGCCTTGCTCGCCAGAACACGAGTACTGCTGAGGGATGGAGGCTGCAGGGAAAACACGCGCTGAGCTGAGTGGGGGTCTCCTCCCTGCCCACCACCCGTCTTTACAGGCAGGCAACCACCCGCTCCTAAAAAGCACCCATCAAACCCATTGCCGTAGAGTCAGGTCATAGCGACCCTTTAGAACAGAGTAGAACTGCCCCACAGGGTTTCCAAGGCTGTAACCTTTATGGAAGCCGACTGCCACATCTTTCTCCCTCAGGGAGGCTGGTAGGTTCAAACTGCTGGGCTTTCATCGCCAGGGCTCCCTACACAGGTAGGCTCACCGTATTCTCCTTGTCTGCCAGGCTAAGCCCTTTCATGGGAGAAAGCTGAAGCTGCTGGTGGTCAATGGTGCCGAGCGGGACGCGGACTGAAAGCATGGTGGTGGCAGCGTGGGAATCGGCGCAAACGAAAGAACAGATCGCAGAAAACCGGCGAGTTCGCGCGCCTCCGGCGGCATTTAAATACCCTGGTAAGTAGCGAGCAAGCCAATCAGAATGCTGCCTTCCAATCAGATGTTCCCTTTAGGAATCCTGACAACGCTTATCGCGGGAAATTCAAGCGCTGAGCGGAAGCGCTTGCGCGGGACCCCAGGGACTCCTGAGGTTCTCGCTCTAGGCTTTCTCTCCGGGATCCGCTGAAACCGCTGGTTAAATCGGTCCTTGAGGATACTACTGGGAAAAAAAATAAACAGTGCCTCTGCTAGTCTCAGTTACAATATCGCGCGCTGGCACTTAATCCGAAAACCGTTTGGGATTGTCGGAGAGGCGGTGATGATTGGGGCTCCGCGGAGCGCGAGAAGAGTCGCCATTCCGCAGCGCCACCTCTCGGAAAAACGTCTCATTGAACTTGTTTTGCGATTTGACCCAAAAGATTTTGCAAGGAGGTTGGTGCCTGTAAAACGCCCCTGGCTGAGAAGGAGAAATATTGTTGTGACCCTATAGATCCGTGTGATTGGGGCGGGGGTCCAAGGACAGAGAGTGTTCCTTAAGATTGAACAAGCCTGTGGGGTGGCCGGCGAAGACAAGTGTAGACGAATGATTAGGCCCACTGGCTGCTGAGTCCCTCAGCTCCATTTGATGTGACATGTAGACTTTCTTAAAAATTAGATGCCTTCATTGGTAAGTGGAACATGTTACCCTTTGTAAATTATGGTTATAGAATACGATAATCGCAGAGTTAAATGAGATAATTCATGTAAAATGTTGTTGTTGTTGTTGTTGTTAAGTGCCATCGAGTCAGTTCTGACCCATAGCGACCCTGTACAGGGTTTCCGAATGTAAAATACCCAGTACTAAGTAAACCTTCCATTTAAATGATAGGGAGAGAAGGATTTTAGTGAAGTTTTCAACTGAAAGCATGCCTGCTCTCAGAGTGTGTTACCGTGTTACCAGTTTTAAGATGTAATTTCCAATCTGAGGTATTTAGAAATCTGTATCAGTTCATGAATTTTAATTTCTAACACAAAATAATTGACCAGTGAAAATATTGCAAACTGAGCAAAAATCCTGAGAATGTTGAGAGAATGATCGAACAACCAGTAACTCATTTATTGAAGAGGGGGTAACTCCATTAGGATGAAGGTGGAGACATAAATTTATCAACAGTTTTCTTTTTATTTTGATTTGCTAGAGATGGTTGCCCATAGAGCTGACCCTAAGAGACACTTGACTTTTTATTCAGCCTTTTCTAGATATATACTTTACAAACTTTGGGTTTGGAAAGATACCCTTCCCACTTAGAACTATGTCTTCCATTTTTCTAAGTACTACATACTTTCGTTCAAAGTAGTCTCATGTTACAGAAAAAGATCAGTGATAATCATATGTCTTACAAAAACAACTAAATTTTGAGTATCTTTGTTTTAAAGCAACTCCCATTGTCCATTTCACCCTTACATCAGCATGTATTTCTAAAAAGTTATTTTTATGGGTAATTTTATGACTGTCATTATGACATCTAAGAATTAATGATTCATTGGTGTCATCTAATACTCAATCCACATTCAAGTTTTCTGTAATTTAGATCCAAAATGCTACTTTGGGTTTTTTTTTAGCTCCTTTTATACTGACTATAATTTTGTAAGGTCTTCAGAAAGTATTACTTCATTATTTATTTATTTATTTTCCTGACTACCAAATTGCTGTTTCTATAAAGTGCCATTGAGTCCTGACTTACAGCAACCCTGGATAGGTGCTCCTAGGAGTGGCTGGTGAGTCTGAACCACCGACCCTGTAGTCCAGTGCTTATCCTATGGCGCCACACCAGGACTCCAGACTACCAAATTGTCACGTATCAATTGTAAAAAAATGTGGAAAGACTAAGGGTTAAGTCATCCTCATCTTTTACCGCCTTCCAGCTACCGGAAGGTTTCGACATACAGCCTTTCCCCATCCCTACCCCCACCACCCCACCCCCAGGCGGGTAACTCTCGCACCCAGTGTACAAAAGAGGAAGCAGGCGCAAAAGGCTACGTGGCTCGGCCAGGCAGTCCCGCCTCTAAGAGTCCACTGGGACAAATCGGTACCTCTGGCTCCTAATGCCCCCTCTTTTGCCCTGGGGACTAGTGAGGAAAGGGATCCGACCAGGCGCCTGTGGTACAATCACCCTAAAAGGTGACACTACGGATTCCTGGCGGTCCTACGAATTCCTCCTGCCACACGCTATGGGGTAGGGCTGCTCCCAAGCTCTGGGATCTGCCGGGTTTCCACGTTTCCGGGTTTTTCCGGCCGCCGATTTTTAAAGTTTATTCCACGATTGGTCCCTACGAGAAACGTCCCTTAACTTAACCTGTTTGGTTCCACTTCATTCAATGCATTGGACAACCCAGGTCCCCGCCCCATTTCCGTAGCCCGCGCTCCCTTCAGCCAACCGGGCGGCTTAGGATAGTTTGCTTCTTCCGCTTTGCGGTATTAGGTGGATTGTAGTTGCTGAAACCGTGACAACCGTGACCATAATTGTACAGGTTGAGAAGTTCTTTCAAGCCCGGGAGTTCAAGTGATTTTCTCAACGCCACTCATCACTTTCTTCCAGACACCCTGCTGGGATTATTAAAATGATAATAGCACCCCACAGCTATAGGATTCCTAGATCAGGAGCTTTGTTTTTAATCCAGACAACTGTGAGGTAAATATGCATAGCCTTACTTTGTAGATGAGGAAACTAGGGCCTGAGAGACAAAGAGACTGCCAAAAGTCACAGTTAAGACTTTTCTTCCTCAAGGTTTTTGTTGACAATACACACAGCAGAACAAACCAATTCAGCAATTTCTACACGTACAGTTCAGCGACATTGACTACATTCTTCAAATTATGCAACCATTCTCATCCTTTTCCAAATTGTTCCCACCATTAACATAAACTCATAGACTTCTAATTCTCCCTCTACTTTTTATTATGAAAATGTTGAACACACACCATCCTCCTCTCTTACAGTTTCCCAACTCTGGAACATTTCTATATATTGCCTTGCCTCACATCTTAGTGTGCTGCTGTGGGTTAATGAGCTGGACCGCAAAGTCGGTTTGAACCACAAGCTCACCAGCTGCTCCTCAGAAACCCTATACAGCGTCACTATGGGTCAGAACTGGAGTCCTGGTGCTGTGGGTTAATACGTCAAACTGCAAAGTCGTTTGAACTGCAAGATTGGCAGTTCAGGCTCACCAGCTGCTCCTTGGAAACCCTACACAGGGTTGCTATGGGTCGAAATCAACTCGACAGTACTTAACAACAACAACAACCCTTCTCTCCTTAACCCAATGTCTACCCTTCTTTCCCCACATCACTGCAGACTCCCTGTGGTTTATTTAAGCAGCCAAGATGCTATGGGTCTGTGTTTCATAGCTGCTGTGTGGAAATGCACTGGTGGCAAACTGTCTTTTCAAAAACTGGAGCCCAGCAACCACCCTTTTCCTGGAAATGGAGCCCTAGCTGAATGTATTTGTGTTCTTTCTGAAACTATCTGCCTCTTTCCTCCACGGAGCTCTGTTGTTTCTCAACCACTATGTACTTGTATCATCCATCCCAATCAGATGGATTGACATAGTAGCTGCAACAATGGTCTCAAGCATAACAACCATTGTGAGGATGACACATGACTGGGCAGTGTTTGTACATAGGGTTGCTATGACTTGGAGCTGACTAATGGCACCTCACAGCAATAACACCACCACCACGTACTCATATGTAACTAGGAAGCAAGACCAATCCTCCTCAAAACCATCAGCTACATTTTGCATCTGCAAAGTCCGTCATTCCCCTTTCTGAGCTTTACATGCTGTTTGGGGGACCTTCAGGATGCTCTGATTCCTCTATTTTAAAAATGCATTCACAGGGAGCAGGAAGATGGAATACTACATCCCAAGTAAGACTTGTTAGCTGTGCATGGGGTTAGGCCAGCCTTCATCTGCCTTCCAGTCCTACCTGGTGATCCCATGTGTGTCAGTGTCCAGAAAACCTGCCATGAGACCTCCTGGTTCACAAATCTTCCCCCATGAAAACAGCTCCCTCCCCTCAATTTACCCCATCTTCACCTCCCTCCTCCCAGGGATCACTTGGGAAGCACTAGATGATCCTCCTCTGGGCAATATTCAGACCCCAGGAGGCTAAGCCACCTTCCTTGAAGACTGCAGTTTCTGGCCATCCCAGTCTGTATCTGAAGGAGAGGGTTTCCATGAATTGATTTGAGAAAGACAAATAAAATGTAAGACCAGTTTATTTCCTAACAGCGAAGTTCAGCTTCAAGATGACTTACCATTGAATGATTTTTTTCTTTAATAGCCTTTCTTCCTCAGGTGGTCTCAGATAAAAACCAGTTGCTCTCAAGTCAGTTCCAACTCAGAGACATTATAGGACAGTGGTCAAGCAAGGTCAGCAGTACAAACCCACCAGCCACTCCTCGGAAACCCTACATAGGGTCACTGTGAGTCAGAATCGACTTGAGAACACTTAACAACTACAACCTTTATGAAAGCAGACTGCCTCATCTTTCTCCCATGGAACTACGGGTGGGGTTAAACTGTCAACCTTTCGGTTAGCAACCAAATGCTTAACCACTGCATCACCAGGGCTATGGTAAAAGGTCTAGACTACCAGTGTGTGCATTTCCTGGGTGGGAAAGCCAGTAGCTTGAATGTTATTCTGAAATGACAGATACGGAATACTGTCTGATGTATTCAGGCTGTCATTGTGTGTGTTTCCTGGGTGGAGAAGCCAGTAGCTTGAATGTTATTCTGAAATGACAGATACGGAATACTGTCTGATGTATTCAGGCTGTCATTGTGTGTGTTTCCTGGGTGGAGAAGCCAGTAGCTTGAATGTTCTTTTGAAACTGGCTGATGCAAATACTACAGTTAATGTGTGGGATGCAGAGCAGAGGAAGG